TTTGGGATATATCAGTTTGGTACCGCCTACCCGTTCTGTGGTCCGTAGCGCCCTCTGGGGCTGGAAGGACGGACCGTGCTTACGCGTGCACAGCCATTTAGATTATAGTACGGTTTCGCCGACACCAGATGGGCGGCAGGAAGCGTCATAACTAGAGTTCCTGTATAGGCTCCCTACGGGAGCCAGAGTAGAGTGCCTTCATACACACGCGCGCTTTTGCTTGAGTGGTGACATCTCAGACATTTTTCCGCCCGGTAGTTTTTTTATGCATTTTGAAGTGCGCGCAATCCGGTGTCACTCAGCTCGAGCGCGTAGCTTTGGCTAATGCATAGACGCCATCTTACCGCCCAAGTCACGCACCGAGGGCACGAGAGCGCCACGCGCTGGCACATTCAGGGCAACAATGGATGTCTTCACCCTGAGGCAGACAGACATGTAGGCACCCTAAGCCAGAGTTGCGTGTTCATCTCCGTAGCGCCGCCTTTCCTGCACGGCATGTTGGTCCCGCTCGTCACGTGACTGAATTCGGCGAATACCGGCGGGAAACGTACGCCGGGGCGCGTGCAACGTCTACTTTCCTGCACGGCACTTGTTGCGGCTCCTTACGTGATCGCGCAACTCTGGCTCCCGTAGGGAGCCTATACACTCCGTGCGGGAACTATAGGGGGCGCTTTGAAAAACGCGCGCAGCGCCGCTAGCGGAGGAGCTGGCGTTCGACTGTGAGGCGCGTTCAGCAGCCTGCGGCGCCTTTTCGCATGCCAAACTGTGGCGGCGGAAGCGCGCGCGGACGAAACGTTTGCTTTTTGAGCCGATAAGTTGAGGGTGACGTTGCATGAGTGCTGGGGCAGAAGGGCATTTAGCTGTTCTCCACTTCTTATATATTGAGTTTGAGTCGTTATTAGGGGCAATTTCTCTAGTTGCGGCCGAAAAAGGAGTTGGAGCAATTTTCCGAAAAACAAGACGGCCGCCACCATAATTGCTCTGAGTGGGAAATTTATTTCGCTCGTCGCTGTAAACCTAGGACTGCTGGAACGATGATATTTGGAGGCGAGTGAGATGTTCACTAAGTTTGTGCACCAAGAGTGCCAGGTTTCTTTAAGACAGCAGGTGTGAAAGTTATGTTTCTAACGAATAAAGAAATAAAGCTGTACGGGATATCCAATATTGGACCCAAAATGTTGTGTTATAGCGGGCTGTGCAAAGTGCAGACTTGGGCAGACAGGTGCTTGGACTTGACAGTAACATGACACAGCACTTATTATACAAAAAGAAAAAGGTGGCATAGGGAAACCAGGTGAAAATTTGGTTTGGGCGGCGTAACTCAAAGGGAACCGGTTTTGACCATGAGAAGGCTGTCAAGAGAATACCACTGATTGTGGGAGGTAGAGACTTTACAGGTAGGAAGGGACTGGTGGACCGTACTTCCTATTGAAACAACTTTACGGAAGGTGCTTCCAAAGCCGAGAAAGTAAAGCTGTCGGCCAACACACGGTTTGGCCGCCAAGGGCTTTTGCGGTCAGCTGTTGTGTAATAACCTGTTGTACGATGTGCTGATTTTCGGCGCACGGGTACTTTGACATGACCGTCAATTGGCACAACATTATTATAACAAAAAGAGCTGGCATAGCGAAACCAGGTGGAAATTTAGTTTGGGCGGCGTAACTAAATGGGAACAAGTTTTGACCGTCAAAGGCTGTCAAGATAATACCACTCATCGGGGGAGGTGCACACTTTACAGGCAGGAAGGGACCAGTGGACAGTACTTCCAGTTCGAACCACTTTGCGATAGGTTGCTCTAAAGCCGAGAAACAAATTGTTGTCTACAGAACTCAGGGTGTCAGCGTTTTCACATCCAAAGGAGGCTGATCCAGAAAGAAAGCACACCACATAAACTTCCATACTCAATCGTCGATTCTCCAGTGAATCCGAGTTTCATTGTTGTTTTCTTTAGATTTATATTTGTCACTTTTTTTACCATTCGAATCTTTCTTCGTGAAGTACAGATTGCACGCCATACTTGTCCGGAAATATCAATGACACGTACGATGGGGACGAAACTTCTTTGGAGGGCATTCCTCCAACGAAATTGGCATTTCATAACCGCGAGTGTGGGATGGCATTTCAGTTCGTTCTATCGGCGCTTACACATGTAGGCGTTACTGGTACGAAAACAAACGCAGAGCGCAAAGCGGCAGTGTAGAATATGTCAGCCGTGATGACACAGTGGCAGACATGATCGGGAGACTAAATTTCTCGCGTCGTACGGCACGGCTCCATCGTTGTCGCTGTCCCAGAAAACATCGGCGAGGTGAAAAACTGTGAAACTTTGTCTCCACGAGACACGACGCATAACTATTGAAGCACTTAATGACGCAGCACAGGCAGCACTTCATGCTGTGAACCCAGCGCAACCGCACCGCTCCGACTTCAATATGCGTACCAACGTACGCGGCGTGGTTTCGGTTTTGTTTTCTCCGGGGTTCTCACTGCCTACCTTCGCTACCGGCCGCGCGGCGGCGCGCCAGTCGCGTCGCACGGAGTGTATAGACCATTCCATCTAGCGCTCTCTGGGCGGCACCATTTTGCTCGACAGCAGCGCCCTCTCCATACATCCGGGAAATTCAGCGGGTTCGGCGGGGTAAAACTAGAGAGAGGGCACGCGCCCGACTCCGCTAGCAGACGACAAACCGGGAAGTTGCCGTTCTCCGTCTTTGAGCTGTATCGGCTGGCTGTACGGAATATCAAACTCTCGCTCGTGGCTGCCGTTGTGAAGTGGTTCGCGTTCTTAGAATAGTTGTGGCTACTCCAAAATCATCCTATAGCTCTCTGTTGTTCTATTTCTGTAAATGATCAACTAGCATATCTTTTTTCCGTTACTTAAATAGCAGTTGAGTCAGCCGGCAGTACAACCCTCAACTACTGCGTGTATTGCGGCACGAGAGCACGTTTTTATTTATATTTCAGACTTTCACTCATGGTCGCTATAGGCCTACACCAGTACGAACTTTGTATAGTAAAAAAGGTACAGCAACCGGATTTACTTTTCACCAAAGAGACCGGCCAATCTGACACAGTTTTCCCTATTGTTTTTTTATTTGGACGCAGGTAACAGCGCAATTGCACCCTGTGAGTCTTTTTATCTAGCATAGTATTACACGACAATTGGCGTACCAAAATCTGCGGATCTGCGCTTAAAAGTTCTAAAATGACGCGATTTTAAACACAGTTTGCACGCCAGCCGGACGCTACCTACAGAAGGGTTTGGATTTGGGCTAGTTGGTTGAACATGTTTAGGGGTTAAAGCGGTAAAAACGACGGACGAGTAGGAGAGACACACACCACAGAGCGCTTTGCAACTGGTTTATTATTGGAAAACCACACGTACCGCGAAACCAACAAAACACACATCCGTTTCGCGGTACGTGTGGTTTTCCAATAATAAACCAGTTGCAACTGAATCGGATGTGTGTCTTGTTGGTTTCGCGGTACGTGTGGTTTTCCAATAATAAACCAGTTGCAAAGCGCTCTGTGGTGTGTGTCTCTACTACTTGTCCCTCGTTTTTAGCGCTTTTAACCCCTAAACACGCTACCTACAGCCCTCTCGGAGGAGCGGACGACATTCGGGGTGAGAGGGGAGTGCATTTTTTTCCCTTTTACCCTCTCTGCTATGACCCTAATGGACCGGTCTATTGGGCAGGAGATCGAACTATAGGGGGCGCTCTGACCCGTTTGTTTTCCCCACGCTCTGTGTTTACTCAACACAAGGCCTGTGCACATGCCGACAGGCCTTATGGGCATGGCCATGCAATCTTCTACAATAGAGCGCGGGGTGCAGTTTAATAAAAAAAATACTAACAATCGACGAAGCGGATCTATCTTCTGAGAATGCGAGCTTGACCCACTTCGGCTTTTGTGCTGAGCTGGAATCGTGCATGCTGCATTGTTCATGCAGGCCGTAGTGGAAACAAAACAGCCCCTCCTCCCCCTCGCCGGAGAACACGAACTCCAGCCGAACGCTGACGCCGCGTTCGGTTATGTCGGCCGAACGCTGCGTCATTGTATTTGTTGTCCCCATCCGTGTAGTTGTTAGGTTAACCGCTTGGGGCGTCACGGTCTGTCCTCCTCCCCAATACATGAACTCTAGTCGTAACCGTAATGTTGTTGTTTGACTGACCGCGTCGGTGTTTGGAGTTTCTGTCGAAGAATGGCGAGGACGTTCTATTTTTTGGCTTTGCCTTCGCCATTTTTAGTCTTATTTGAAAATTGTTTACTGTGTGGCTCTAACATCCCAGGCACAGTCGTCGCTCCTCGTCTACACCTTGAAATACGCAGTTATAAAACGTCTGTTACGTCTCCCTCCAAAAAAAAATGAGTTTTTTTCCCCATTTTTTATCGCGAAAATAAATTAGGTACGCGTTACTGAGCATTCAGTCTCCGCCTAAATGTAGCTGTCGAAACTCCAGGGCTTGCCTTTTCTTACTTGTACGATATGGGCGATGCCAGTTGCAATAAAGGGCCCATTCCCGATAGCTGACGCAATTTCTCTCCATCTGTATGTGGGCTCATCAGCTGCCATGTTTTCATTGAAAATGTCCGAAAATCAATAATAACTTTCGAATCCGATAGCACTTTCTTCCCGAACTAAACTACAAAAAAACTGCTATCCTTTTTTGGGGGGGCTAAAGCTGTGGAGAATTACACACTGTCCAAATAAACACTTTTTCAACAGGGAAATATGAAATAAAAAAACGATTCCTTCCGGAGAGGCTAATTGGCTGCGGCGAACGCGTAAAACACGAGTGTCACGTGGTGACATCAAAAAAAATTTCGGAAAATTGTCAACTTAGCGTGTGAGCTTCTTCTTAGCCGGCCTATTTTAGCCGTGTTCGTAGTCAGTTGTCAAATAGCTAGAACCGTGGCAAATTTCGGCATTCAACGAAAACTAAGCCCCGAGCCCCGCCCTAGCTCCGGTACAATCAATTTTCCTGAACTGCCGACAGGGTAGCAAACAACGCCGCCTACTACGGTCTGCACATCAACGTGACCAACATGGCTGGAAACGAGTTCCTCAACTTCTTCCTTCTGGCGATCATTGAGCTTCCCAGCTACGTCGTCGCCTGGTGGACCATGGAGCGGCTCGGACGTCGATGGTCCAACGTCGGCTTTCAGCTGATCGTGAGCGGCTCGTGCTTCGCTTCTTGCCTCGTTAAGCCGGGTACGTCAGTTAGTTGAGTAGTGTATTATGATACACGATGGAACAGGAAATCAACAAGGGGGGCTGGGCCCCGCCCCCTTGTTTATTAAGGGGGCGGGGCCAGTCTCGACCAATCACAGAGCCACAGGGCGGGGCCTCTTCCCTCTCTCCCATCCCAGGACCAGTCTCGACCAATCACAGCGCAGTAGGGCGGCGCCTCTTCCCTCTTTCCCATCCCAGTAACCAATCGGAGCTCATCGAGGTCCGCCCTCTGGTGACGTACGCGGCACGTGCCTCGTACGTAATACCAGGAGTTAACGACTCCTGGTATTACGCACGTGCCTCCTGGTATTACGCACGTGCCTCCTGGTATTACGCACGTGCTTCCTGCTATTACACACGTGCCTCCTGGTATTACGCACGTGCCTCCTGGTATTATGCACATGCACGTGATGTTAACCACGTGATTTTCCTCGGGTTCGAGGTGTGTCCGACAGAGGGCGCTCACGTGATGTCATCAGGGTTGGTGTTGCATCCGACAGCGGGCGCTGCGCTGCGGTCACATGACGGTCACGTGGGATGTCATCAACACGACTCCCATCACGTGACCCCGTGATTCACACAGGGTTCGAGTTGCGTCCGACAGAGGGCGCTCACGTGATGTCACACAGGGTTTGTGTTTCATCCGATAGAGAGCGCTGCGCCGCGGTCATATGACAGTCACGTGATATTATTCGAATCGCTGCGCGGTAAATGCTCCTTTTATTCGATAAAAAAAGCTCCGCGGCCGACTGGGACTCGACCGCTCTACCTTCGGCTCAGAGGTCCAACACTCTACCCCCTGAGCTACGAGCACATTGCTTCCTAGAGGGCGTATTATGATACACGATGGAACAGGAAATAAACAAGGGGGCTGACCCCACCCCGTTGTTTATTACGGGGGCGGGGCCAGCCCCGACCAATCACAGCGCAGTAGGGCGAGGCCCTTTCCTTCTCTCCCATCCCAGTGACCAATGGGAGCTCATCGAGGTCCCGCCCTCTGGTCGGTACGTGCCTCGTAATACCAGGAGTTAACGACTCCTGGTATTACGCACGTGCCTCCTGGTATCCCGCACATGCCTCGCGGTATTACGCACGTGCACGTGATGTTAACCACGTGATTTTCCCCGGGTTCGAGTTGTATCCGACAGAGGGCGTTCACGTGATGTCATCAGGGTTGGTGTTGCATCCGACAGAGAGCGCTGCGCTGCGGTCACATGACGGTAACGTGGGATGTCATCAGCACGGCTCCCATCACGTGATTCTAACCACATGATCTCACACAGGGTTCGACTTGCGTCCGACAGAGCGCGCTGCACCGCGGTCACATGATGGTCACGTGACATTATTCGAATCGCTGCGCGGTAAATGCTCCTTTTATTCGATAAAAAAGGCTCCGCGGCCGACTGGGACTCGACCGCTCTACCTTCAGCTCAGAAGTCTAACACTCTACCCCTTGAGCTACGAGCACATTGCTTCCGAGACCGCTTAACTCTTCGTAGTTGTCCGTGTGTGCAATTCAGATCACGTGATTTCCCGCGCGCTACTTGGCTTTTGTAATACGGTTAAAAAACAGGATGCGTCGTTACCGTAGGTCATGTGTCCATGGTCGTGTGACGTTGATCGTCTTGATTCGTCACCACGGCTCCCATCACGTGATGTTAACCACGTGATTTTCCCCGGGTTCGAGTTGCGTTCGACAGAGGGCGCTCACATGATGTCCTCACAGGTTCCGTGTTTTCCCCGGGTTTGAGTTGCGTCCGACAGAGGGAGCTCACGTGATGTCACACAGGCTTCGTGTTGAATCCGACAGAGGGCGCTGCGCCGTGGTCACATGATGGTCATGTGACATTATTTGAATCGCTGCGCGTGGTTTTCCTGGCACTTGGCTTTTGTAATAGGGGTAAAAAACAGGATGCGTCATTGCCGCAGGTCATGTGTCCATGGTCGCGTGACGTTACTCGTCTTCCTATCACGTGATTTCGCGCGCGCGCGATTCAAACGATGCTCTCGAACTCGTAGCCTCGTGGCGGCCCCCTTAGTTGTTGCAAATGGTGTCTTCGACCCGCTTATTTTCGGCGTCATGTGACGGTCTCAAATAGCAGCAGCTGGGCCCCGCTAAAATTGGGGTGAATGTAAAATTTTGAAGCTCGCGGACCGTGATTGATGTTGATCCTACGTAAAGCTTTAAAGTGGCCCTGTTAAAATTTGGGGGCAAGCTCTTAAAACTTTGCAAAGACCCAGCGAATTTTGGGAATAGGCGCCATCTAGTGTTCAATGTGTGAAGTGGTCCTCGTCAAAATTGGGTGCCATCTGGTGGTAAAAGCTTCGACCCGCTATAAATTTTGGGCGTCATGTGAAGGTCCCAATTATCACCGGTGTCGCTAAATTGGGGGTGAGGTCACGGTAAAACTTTGAAGCTGGCGGACCGTGTTAAATCTTGGTTCAGCGTAAAGCTTCGAAGTGGACCTGCGTAATTTTGGGCCAAAGTCTTGAAGCTCACAGAATGCGCTGGACCCAAATATTTGTTTTTCAATAGACAACATCTAGCGTTAGAACTTTGAAGTGCTCATCCCTGAAATCGCTGACCTCTGGTGGTAAAAGCTTCGACCCACTAAATTTGAGCGTCATCTGAAGATTTTCTTAGCACCAGCTGGATATCGACAAAGTTTGGCTGGGGTGAGGGTAAAACATTGAAGTTCACAGGCCGTGCTACATCTTGGTCCAGCGTGAAAGCATTCAAGTGACCCTGCGAAATATTGGGTCTCAGCGTAAACTTTTGAGAGCTCACAGACCGTGCTTGATCCCAGTGAATTTTGGGATAGGAGTCGTTTAGTGTTAGGACTTTGAAGTGCTCATCGCTAAAATTGCTCACATCTAGTGTTAAAAGCTACGACCCGATAAATTTTGGGCGTGACATGACGGGTCCTTAGCACACTTGGTCACCTGTATCCAGTTAATTTTGAGGGGAGGCGGTAAAAAATTCGAAGCTCACGAACCGTGCTAAGCTGAGAAACAGCGTAAAGTTTTGAAGTGGCAATGACATATTTGGGGGGCTGGCCCCAGCGTGTAAAACTCTGAAGTGACCCTGATGAAATTTCGGGCCCAGCGCGTGAAACTTTGCACAGTCCCAGCCAATTGTGGTGTATCCGACACCTAACGTTAAAACTTTGAACTGGTCGAAGAATATTTTAAACTTCAATGAGATGAAGATAGCATTTCCTCTTCTCGATTTTGCGCGAACACAGTTTACATTTGGGATTTAGGCGTATGAGTTGACACCTCCGTTCATAGATGGTGCGAGATTTTGTTGCTAAGCGCCTTCGTTGTTAGGGCATGAGTGACATCTGGCGGTGTGGGCGTGACCTTGCGACATCTTTTGCTGAAAAGTTAAATTGCTCGTGTCGCTAAGGCGTGCTCATCCGCATTTTCGCGCTCGCGCAAGTCCGGGCTTTGTGAGTTGCCGATTCCGTTTGTAGATGGCGCGCACCTGAATCCCTTGACTGGCGTGAACCATTATCACGGGAAATGTCTTCCTAATTTTAGCGCCAGCTGGTAGATGGCGTCAACTGTATCGCGCGCGCGAAATCTCTCGCTAATTTAGCGTCATCTGTAGCTGCTGAACGGAGCAGTGTGGGAAAATGGAACGGAGCGTGGCCGCATCCATACACTAAAAATGAGAAAGATATGGTGTTTCATTTTTTTTTTTATTCCCATACGCTCTAAAGACAGCCACACTTCTAAATACAGATACGGCGCTTAATTTTTTTCACTCTACGCAACAAAGACGTGATTGGAAACGCTTTACACAAAAATGTGACTCGGTTATTTTCCTACCAAATCTGTTATGATGCCCTCCAAGAACCTTTGTGTTCCTGAAGCAGGGAACACAGTCAGTGCATGTGCGGTCATGAACGACTATGGGGTGAAAGGAGTCAGCTGACGAACGGGAAACCTCTAAATTATGCTCTCTGAGCCTGCGGTTAATGCATCTTCCTGTCTGCCCAATATACTGTCTCCCGCGAGACAAAGGAATGGACTAAACTTTTTCCTCCTCTCACGGGACGAACTTGTGAGCGTGCTTAACATTGCACCCCCGCGGTTTTTTCCTGATTGTGGACTCGCTGACAGAGCTGCTTAAGCCGCATTTTGCAAGAAAAAACAACATTTGTCTTGAAGCGGGATCCACAAGCCCTCAAGCGATGAGTTGTGCGTGTACGGGATGACGGCAAATCGTTCCGGAATTCTGTTCTTGGTTGCTAGACAAGGACGATTAACGCCAAGAACGAACTTCTTCAAGGTGTTCCGCAAAAGGTCCTCCGGATACCCCGCGTTGACAAGCCTAAGATGCTGAAAATGAAAACTTCTTTCCAAAAAGTGTGGGTACCCCACGTTACCGTCATGTGAGCGCAGCGCCCTCTGTCGGATGCAACACCTACCCTGATGACATCACGTGAACGCCCTCTGTCGGACACAACTCGAACCCGGAGAAAATCACGTGGTTAACATCACGTGCACGTGCGTAATACCAGGAGGCATGAGCGTAATACCAGGAGGCACGTGCGTAATAGCAGGAGGCACGTGTAATAGCAGGAGGCATGTGCGTAATACCAGGCGTTGTTAACTCCTGGTATTACGTACGAGGCGAGGCCAGGTCTCTCCCATCCCATTGGTCAATGGTCAATGGGATGGGAGAGACCTGGGAGAAACCTATCTCCCATCCCATTGGTCAATGGGATGGGAGAGAGGGAAAGGGCCCCGCCCTACTGCGCTGTGATTGGTCGAGACTGGCCCTGGGATGGGAGAGAGGGAAGAGGCCCCGCCCTATGGCTCTGTGATCGGTCGAGACTGGCCCCGCCCCCTTAATAAACAAGGGGGGGGGGGGGGGCGGGGGGCCAGCTCCCATGTTGATTTCCTGTTCCATCGTGTATCATAATACACTACTTAATTTGCATGCTTTTGGAACGTTAACGCAGCAAATAATCGAGGTACCGTATAC